TATTACGTATACGTGCGCCACGCGCTTCCTCTCGCCACCGACGCCGCGCTGCGCTGCGCCGCGCCGCGCCGCGCCGATATCCTCGCGGCTCGTGGAGCGTGTTATTCGCACCGCCGGGATATCGGATGAACATGGACGAGTTTGCTGCCGACAAACATACGGTTATATGTCATGTCGTCGTCGCCATTCAACAGTGAACGTCCGCGTACCCCTAACCAACGGCATGCCTCATCTCTCGTAATTATTGTACAAGATATACGTAGTATTAAACGCGAGGGGATTTGATAACGCACTTTCCTTCGGTTCCTTATATGATAGATACCAGCGACTGATCATTTACTCCTTCGCTTCGCAATAAAAAAATTTAACGGAATATCATTTATTCGTAGAGATATCGATTAAGGATATCGATTAAGAAAAGAACACTTGATACACTTAATACAAGAACATTCTTTTTTAAGAAGTTGTAGAAAAACTCAAAGTTGTAAAAAAATCTTTTCATCTTTCATTTGCTTAAAGTCATATAAAAATATAACTAGTATAGATTGATAAATTGTAAGTAAATTATTAAAAATTATAAAATTTACTTCAAAAGATTTCAACATGCACTTGCATTTTTTATTTTTAAAAGTTGTGACTACGATAATTTAAAAAAAAGATGGCTTGTTCAAGAAATTTGAAATTTTAAAGTATCACTTTTAATTTCGCATTTTGATTCAAGGAGGCTTTTTTCTAATTTTAATCTTTTTCTTAAGTTATATATAAAAAAAAAAGAAAAGCAAATACTTGGGCGTGCTCGGATAGCATTTGTTATTATATTCTTATAAATACATTTTTGGCTGAGTGATTCTTAGCTATTCGGGCACGCCAAATATCTACTTTACTGTGATCCTCTTTGTCATTTTCATTATAACCCATTGAGAAACAAGATGTATTAAACGTTTATTGCATGTAATTGTTGGGTAATTGCATTGATAATATATCCATTTTTCACAAATAATTTTTGATTAGTATAATTATACAGTATATTCCATAAAGAATGTAACAACACTTAAGGATAGACTCCCAAGATCATTTTAAAATGAAAATTTTAGAATCAAAATATCGAGGCTATAATAATAGTTTTTAAATTATAATATAATTTATAGAGAATCGTACCGACTAAAATTTACAGTGTAGTACAAAATGCTAAAAGCGTGCAAATTAATTATCGCTTCTTATTATAATATCGATTATATATGCAAAGATAAAATTACTGATATGTTTAATTATTGATTTTTATTATGTATTATAAAATTATTGCCGCGACATTTTGGTATTAAGATTTTCATCTTAAAATCGGTTTTTACGAGCGACTCTGTGTTTGTGTGCGTGTGCGTGCGTGCGAGTGTGTGTACAGGGTGTCTCAAATTTAAATGTCAAAGATCCAGGAGAGGAGTGTAGGAAACTAAGAAAAAGAGATATGTTTGTTTTCGCTACGTTTTAGAGAAAATCGTAAGAAAAACGTAGTTTTTATTTTTGTACTCATTTGTTACTTATTCATTCACATTTATTTATTCAAAATGTTGGCCTTTTGCAGCAATGTAAGCATTGCATCTAGATCTAAAGTACAGATAGCTCGTGTTGCTAAACATTGATTTGGTCGACGTAATGACGCTTTGACGATTTGATACTCTTAGGCACTCTTCTGTTTGGAAATCGGCGCGCATGCTCTCGCATGCTTGAACCGCCTCCGGCATTATCGTTGCAGAAACCATACATGAAAACGATATCAGCATATTCAACGTATAAGACGTATGTGTATGTACGCGGCATATTATAACAAGAATAATTCATTCAATAGCTTCTGATGAATAACTAATGAATTTATAGGAGAAAGGCAAAAATGTAAACAAAGTTTTCACGAAAATAGAATATTATTGTTTTGATGTAAGATTGTAATAATAATAATATTTCACAGGCAATGCGAGAACGAAACAACTACATTAATCTTTATTACGATTTTCTCCACTAAGGCCATTATTTCATTTGTCGTATGAAAAATCACATCATTTTTTTTAATGGAAACCTCCATTTTTCATTGTATAATCTTATAGCTTATCTTGAGAGTTCTTCAAAATACTATAATAAAATATTTTTTCATTAAGTACTTTCGTGTTATGAGACTTGGAAGTTACAGTACTGTCAAAGTTAGCATTATGTGGTGTCAAATCGACGGCTAAAAACCTCTTGAATGTTATTCAGGATCACGCTGCGAACATTTGTTAAGATCAAGGCATTGGAAGTTGTTTTTCTTAGATTTTCATTTTTGAAAATAAATAACTAAAAATTCATTTTTTAATTCCATATATAATTATAAACTAGTCTCTAATATCTAATATGTTTGTTTTATATTTAATGTTCTATGTATATATATCTTGATATTTCAAATTCTATATATATACTTGAAGGAGCAAGGATGCAATGCATGCATCAATGATTTAACAAGAATAAGATTTTAAAGATTTATTTCAATTTGCATACATTTCAAAAGACATTGACGTTTTTAATTATTCAGCAATTACATATGTGCGGATCAAATCGGATCGAAATTCGCTATTCAGCAGATTGTACTTATACAGGATGCATTCCGATATTTACTATCAGTGCTAAAACTATACAGTTGCGTGCGCTACAGATTTTCGGCATTGGCAGTGAATATCGGAACGCACAATAGCATAGTATTGTATAGCTCTGTTTTTATGCACTCTCTAAACTGATGCACACAGTGCACAATAAGTTGAAGTAAAATAAATTTACGTTTGTTTTACTTCAACTTATTGCACCGTGTGCATCAGTTCAGAGAGTGCAGGAATAAAAAACAGGTCTTATATGTATGTACGTATTGTATGTATGTATGTATGTATGTATGTATGTATGTATGTATGTATGTATGTATGTATGTATGTATGTATGTATGTATGTATGTATGTATGTATGTATGTATGTATGTATGTATGTATGTATGTATGTATGTATGTATGTATGTATGTATGTACGTACATATATATATTTCATCTTCGTGTACAATGCAGACAACTGCAGAGAATATCGATATGTCGCTCTCTCGATGAGCACTATAAGCTAATTTTTTTCGTCGTATCACAGAATTGTATTAGTCGTTTGGTTGCAATTTAAATTCGGTAGAGCAAGAACGATCTCTAGGTTATTCAATAATTCGATGCGTAATCTTGTACGCACGAAAAGTGGCAGGAGGATTCGCACAATATCGGACGATCGAAATATTATATCTGTCGACGGCATCATTCCGTCGAAGAGATAACGAATTCTATTTAGAGAAAAATTCTAGCGGAAGCAATAAGAAAACTTCTTCGAGAAAGTTTTCGCCAAATGTGAATCATCAAATATTCCTTACAGCAATTCCATAAAAAATTGAATCCGGGCTAATTCACGCGTCCGGCGATTCTACGCATCGTTGTCTGTGTACTAATTATGAGCTCTGCGGAGACTTCTTTTTATCTTTTTCTTAAATTCTCTTCTCTTTCATCTCTGACGTTATACACGCTCGCGCATCTAGCATAATGTAATGACTATATATAAGATTAAAATTCTATTGTTCATGCAAAAATTCTTAAAATTGATTTCATAAGTTTAATTGGTAGTAATGTACAAAGTACTCTGAAAATCGTGGAAAGAGGCGATTCCTAAAAAAGTAAGTCGGAAATATAAAATAAAATTTTTTATATTTTCAACAATTTTTCATAATAAATACATTATTAAAATTTACATTATTGTAAATTATTAGAAATTTCCAGACTGACAGAAATAGCGCTGAATAGTCAGATTGGATGAACCAAACAGATTATACCAGCGCAGCAGTACACCGTGTACTTAACGAATATTCAAAATTTTCAATTTTTTCGAAAACAGAGCTCTATACAATAATTGTATTTTTGGCTTACTTTTACATGAGAGAGAAATCACCGCCTTTCCGATTGTCACGATTTTTGGAACACTCTGTGTATACGAATAGCTAAAAAGGCACAAATGTAAATAGCTATTAGATCAACGATCATTCTGTAATTATCACAAATATTTAAGAAAATTCTATATCTCACTTGCGAAAGAGAGAAAAAGTATTATACATATAATATATATATTAATATTATTACCGATATATTAATATATATTTTATGTATAAGTATCAATATAATAATTTATGTATGTATGTACAGTTTAGCATAAAAATGAAGACCTAGAGTTCCGAAATATTTAAGATTTCCGTTTAAAGGAATCCTAAAGTTTAAAAAATCCGTCTATATTACCGATGTCTTCTCCCCCCCCCCTCCCCCCTCTCTCTTTCTCTGATTGAGTCCATCGATTAGCGTT